TGAGGCGCAATCTATGGGGGATCTTTTGCTGAGGAGAAATATTCCCACAGAACAAAATGGGATGAGAAATACCTATGGAGATCATCACCTTGAGGAGAGCGTCTCCTATAGAGCAACAGCTGACAAAGTCTATAGGGTATGCCCTGTTTGAGGACAGTAGCACTATAGAACACAATCTGAGGAGAAATGTCATTCGATTGACCCTTTCTGAGGAGAAAGGCCCTTGTAGCACAAATCTGAGGATCTATCTATGGGGTATCATTTTTCTGAGAATTTTTCCAATAGAACAAAATCAGTGGAGAAACATCTGTAGCGTCGTTTTTTTCCGAGGTGATAGAGGCCCCTACAGAACACACTGTGATGAGACATGTCCCTAGAGCACAAAATCCGCGGAGAATCTATGGGGGATCTTTATCTGAGGAGAATTTTTTCAGAAGAACAAAATTTGAAAGAAATGTGTATAGTGTTGTTCTCTCTGAGGAGAGAGGCCCCTTCAGAACATAGTCTGAGGAGAAATGTCATTTGGAGAGGCCCTTTCTGAGCAGAAAGCCTCTCGAGCACAAAATCCGTGGAGAAATTTATGGGACATCTTTTGCTGAGAAGAATTGTTCCAATAGAAAATATCTGAGAAATGTCTATAGGGGATCATCTCTTTGAGGAGAGCAGCCCCTATAGAACAACATTGATTGAAAAATCTATAGGGGATGACCTCTGTGAGATGGCCCCCATGGCACAAATTCTGAGGGTAAATATCTCTAGGGTCTTTCTCTTTGAGGTCCCTATAGAAAAGCATCTAAGAGAAAAATTCATAGGGGGGCCCTCTTTGAGTACAGAGACCCCTATAGAATACAATCTGAGGAAAAATGTTAGGAGATACCTTTTTGAGCAAAAATTCCCCTAGAGCACAAAATCCATGGAGAAATCTATGGCAGATCTTTGGCTGAAGAGATTTATTCCAATAGAACAAAATTTGAAAGAAATATCTATAGGCTCATTCTCTCTGAAGAGGTAGGCCCTTATATCGCAAAGTCTGAGGAATGATCTATGGGGGCTCTTTTGCTCAGGAGAATTGTTCTAATAGTAAACATCTGAGGAGAAATATCTATAGGGGATGCTCTCTCCTTGGCGAAAGGCCTCTATAGAATAAAACCTGAGAAATATTAGAAGATGTGTTTTCTAAGGAGAAAGTGTCCTACAAAATTTGAGTATAAATCCATGGGGCATCTTTTTCTTAGGAGATTTGTTCTGACAGCACAAAATCTGAGGTGAAATACCTATAAGTGATGTTCTCTATCATTTTCAAGGCTGTTTTAGAACAAAATCTGAGGAGAAATGTCTTTTGGGGATTCCTTCTCCGAGGAGAAAGTCCCCTATCCTTTCTGTGGAGAAAGGTCCTCATAGCATAAATGTGGTTAAATGTTATAGGGGATGCCTTCTATGAGAAGAAAGACCCCTATAAAACAAAATCTGTGAAGTCTTTGGGGATCTGTTTTTGAAGAGAATTGTCCTTATAGAATGATATTTGAGGAGAAATTTCTTTCAGGTGAAATTTTTGAGGTGAATGTGTAAGGTAGAAGAAAATCTAAGGAGATATCTACTGGGGATCTTTTTCTGAGGAGAAATAACCCTCTATAACAAAATCTGAGGGGATGCCCTTTCTAGGAGAAAATTCCCTACAGAACAAAATCTGAGCAGAAGACATTTTGGGGTTCTTTCTGTGAGGATAATAGTCTATATGGAACAATATCTGAGGAGAAATTTCTTTAGCAATGAATTTTCTGAGGCAAATTTTTGAGATGACAAATCTGAGGAGAAATCTATTGGGGATCTTTTTCTGAGGAGAAATGTGCCCATGGAACAAAATCTGAGGATAAATGTCTGTTGGGGATTCCCTCTTAGAGGAGAGAAGTCCCTTTAACAAAATCTGAGGAGAAATCTTTTGGTTTCTTTTTCTGAGGAGTATTGTCTATACAGTATAATATCTGAGGAGAAATTTCTTAGGGTATGTTTTTTTCTGAGGCTAATTTAGAAATAGGACAAGATCTGAAGAGGAATCTATTGAGGACCTTTGTTTTTTTTCCTGAGCACAAATGACCTCGTAAATCAAAATCTAAGGAGAAATGTCTCTTGGGGATGCCCTTTCAGAGGAGTAGATTGTTATTGAACAAAATCTGGGGAAAAATGTTTTTGGGATTTTTTCTGCAGAGATATGTTCTTATAGGACAAAATCTGAGGAAAAATATCTTGAAGGCATGACCATTCTGAGATGAAATGTATGGGTAGATCAAAATCTGAGGGGAAATCTTTTGGGGATCTTTTTTGAGGAGTAATGTCCGTAGGACAAAATCTAGGAAAAATGTCATGGATACCCTTTCAGAGAAATGTTCATATAGAACAAAATCTGAGATGAAATCTCTGGTCAATCTTTTTCTAAGGGAGATGACCATAGAGAGTAAAATCAGAGAATAATTGAGTTTTGAGTAAGGTGACATATGAAAAGTTCATTAGAACATTATCCGAGGAGAAATTGTTTTCAGGATGTCTTCTCTTAGGTGAAGAGTGTATATAGACCAAAGTCTGAGGAGAAATGTCTTTTGGAGATGCTTTTTCTGAGGAGAGGCTTTTTCTGAGGAGAAATGTCTTGATAGAGCAAAATCTGAGGAGAAATCTTTTTTTTTTCCCCAGAAGAAATGACTATGTAGGGCAAAATCAGAGAACAATTAGCTTTTGAGTATTGTCCATATCTGGACAATATCTGTCTAGAAATGTCCTTAAGTTATGCTTTTTCTGAAGTGAAATATACATACAACAAAATATGAGGAGAAACTTTGGAGATGTTTTTTCCTGAGGTGAAGTGTCCACATAGAAGAAATTCTAGAATTATTTTTTCCTATCATCTTCTGAGCTTAAAATTGTGACCAGAGCTAAAAATATGGAGGAATGTCTTTCAGAGATGGTTTTTCTCAGGTAAGAAGAATGTATTAGGAGTACATATGACATGAAATGTCTTCTGGGGATTCTTTTTCTGAATTTAAAAGTTCATATAGAACAAAAACTGAGGAGAAATGTTGAAATGTTTTTTGTTGTGTTTGTGTGTGTGAGTTGCAAAGTGTATATAGAACAGTATCTGAGAAGAAGTGTGTTTTAGGAATTTTTTCTAGTTGATGTATCTGTATAGTCAACAGATGAGATAAATCTTTTGATTTTTTTGGGGGGGCAAAGTTTTACATGGATATGCAGCTCTAATCAAAAATTTCTTTTTCCAGTAACATAAATCACTAGTGACCTTTTCACATGTTGCTCTTCTAGTTGTGCACACCCTCCACTATCATCCCAGAACATTCTAGAATTTTAGGTCCCACCACTCTCCTCCAGAATCCAACTCTGGTTTTCAACATGCCCTTGTATTTCATGTCCACGTTCAAGTTTTAGAAACTTGGGAACTTTGGAAAGCACTCTGGGGGTTTTACCTGGATTTCTGTCCCCAGCTCAAATTGCTACAAATCATTTAAAATCTTTTCTCTTACTTAGTCCAACTAAGTGTATGAGTTTTCTTCATCTCAATTCTGTCATCATCTGTGGCTTCATTGAAAACAGTTCTGGGCGTGCCAATTTCCTTCTGGAGCTTCTCAACTTACCTTTACAGGAGCCTTCTGCCCTGAGCAACCCATTTGCCAGCATCAGCTCACATGTCCCTTCTTTAAACTAGTCATTGGCAAGGGGGTCTTTGCTGGGCATGGACTGCAACAGAGTAAAATCCTCAGCTGTTGCAAGTTGCCACCATGGCAAATAGGTCCAGGGGAGGGAGGATTAGGCCGAGTTGCCATGGGTTTACTTTTTGGCTCCTCCACTCCTTATGGCCCTGTAGCCTTGTTGAGAAAGAATGAGTGTGCTGGACCATCTCAACCTGAAGCCAAGAACTCAACATGGAAACCAAAATAATACTATTTTATTCCAATATTGCAGAACAGTAGTCCAGATGGTTCCTCTCCAATTCATCCCAGCAGACTCAGCACCCCACTTCTTTTGGGAATGACCAACCAGGATGTGCAGTGGAGATAAGTCTCTGGGACTTAAACATCCAACCTCCCCTCTTCTTCCTATCTTGCACACACATTACTTTTTTTTGGTCCATCTGTGCCTTATCCTCTGCTGGTGGCTCCTTTCTGTCTACCCTGTTGTCAGTTCTCCTCTTACTGCTCCTTCACTGGGCTTCTTTCTCTCTCATTTGTTCTTAGTCTCACCAGATCCTGGTGTCCACTCCTTTCCCCAGCTTTGCCCCTTTCCTTCTGTCCTAGCCTCACCCTGTCTACCACCTCAGTTCACATTTTCTCTTGAGGGAAGCCTTCAGGACCCCTTTGCCCGCCACCGCCTTCCACAACTGTGGCTCCAGGACCTCAGAGACCACTGTCTACTTCCCCTCAGACCCCGAGAGGTGCACTGTCAAGATGAGGTCCCTGGATGACTCAGAAAGTGGCCAGAGGAACTGATGTGGCCTTAGCCTTTTAATCTTTGGGCTCAAAGCATACCCTTCCATCCTCAGCAGGGAGGGAGGCGGGCCATGCCCCTCGGTGTCAGGGCTCTGGAGCCCCCCCCCAGCAATCCCTGAGCAGGTCCATGTGGAATAAGGCTGCCCCAGTGAGGAGGCGGGCTGCGAAGAGGTGGCGGCAGGGCAGACGATGGGCGGCATGGATGGAGCAGCTGCAGCGTGTCAGGGCACCATCCAAGAAAAAGTCCGAGGTGCCATCCTTAAGCGCAAAGCCAGCTCCAGTCCAGTGGAAACCTTGGGTCCCATGCTGCCTGGCAAAAGCCAGCTCCTCCGCTACCAGGTCTGCCAACTCTGGCCCACAGGCTGCTCGGAACTTGGCCAGGGGCTCCCAGTCCACCTCCTCCTGTCCAGAAGGGCAGCAAGGCCTCTTTGGTTCCCGGGGGCTGCCTCCTTCACCTGCTTCCTGCAGGCTCTGCCCTGAGGCCAGGCATACTCTCCTTGTTGCTGCCCATTCTGGATCACCCTCAAACACAGGCCCTCTGGGAGGGCTACATGTGACTTCAGTCCCCAGTCCTAGACTCCTTCCTCCAGTATCCTCACACTCCACCCCTGGCCCTCCTCTGCTCTCGGGGCCCCCAGACTGGGCTCTACTTCCATCTCCATTCTTCCTGTCTGTTTCCTGAGAGTCCCCGAACTGGACTAAAACTATGCCCTCCAGACCCCTTCTTTTGACTCCCAGTCTCCCTGCCCCCTCTTTAATCTCTGGCCCTTTCTGCCTCTTACCTCCCCACTGGGACCCCTGCTGGTCTCCATTCTCAGGGACCAACTCCAGGGGCTTCTCCAAGTGGGATCCCCTCCAGTTTCTGACCTCCAGCCCTCTTCCCTTCTCTGTTTCCAAGAGAGGACCCTTCCAGTCCTTGGTCTTCAGGGCACTCGCCTTGTCATCATGTCCCTGAGCCCCCCTCCAGGTGCCACCCCCTGTGCTTCTGGCCCTCTCCTGATCATTCAGGGCCCGGCTCAGGTCGGTGGCCTCCAGCACCCTAGCCCTCCCCAGCTCCAGAGGTCCCCCACTCCAGGTGTACCCTTCCAGTCCTCTTAGCCCCTGCTTCTCCAAGTGGGCGCCCCTCCAGTCTCGGATCTCTGGTCCTCTCAAATGCTCCTTCTCCAACTGGGACCCTCTCCAGAGAATCCCCTCAAACCCTTTCACCTTCTGCTTCTCCAACTGAACCTCCCTCCAAATACTTCCTTCTTTTGGGGGCCCTCCCCCTTCTCTGGTTACCCTGTCCTTGTTTTCCACCTGGGTTCCCTTCCCCTCCAGCCAAGGTCCTCCACCATCTGGGCCATCGGGCACCACCTCTCCGACAGCGTCAGCCCACTGCATGGCCACGAGGTCGCGAAGGCACTGCGCTACGCTGCGCGAAGGACTCAGGCGGCGCAGAAGACGCCGGCGGTGACTGCGCACCAGGGCACATGCGTCCAGGTCGCGGGCAGCCTCGAAGGCGCGGAATCGGACCCACATGTCACGTCGCGGTGCCCAATTGCGCTCAAAGTAGTCGATGAAGGCCGCTGGGCCGTGAGCGCGCAGCTCGTCCAGTGCCTCTGCATAGGCAGTGGGGGACGAAGCACCAGCCAGGCGGCACAGGCGTGGCCAAAGGCCTGGGTCCTCAAGGCCAGCACCGCCCAACTCCTGTGCCTTGCTGAACAGAGTCTCGAGGCCCTGTGCCCGACAAATCTGCACACGCGCGCCTGGGAGTAGCTGGCGCACGGCGGGCAGCTGTGCTGCCACCTCCGGCCCTGCGGTGAGGCAGCGCACACGGCCCTTGACGTCGGGGGCGCTCTGCAGCAGCGAGGCCAGCGCAAAGCGCAGAAGGCTCGGCGTACCAGGACGTGCCACACAGCAGGCGGCTTGGCGCGCGCGGCCCGCCCCGTCTATACACAGCACAGCCAACAGGTCCAGAGCGCCCTGCAGCCCTGGCAGCCGGTCCACCAGAAGCATGCGCGGAAAGCGCCGCAGCAGTGCCCGGGTGCGCGATGTCAGGAAGAACACGGTCTCCACCACAGCCTGGTCCTCCACAAACACCAGCTTCACCTGCCGGCAGGAACGGGAACACACGGGAAAGTGGTTAGGGGGTACCAGGTTCGCTCTGCTCAGTTTCCATCTCATTTCCCCTCATTCATGCGTGTGTGCAATTATTGTCTTGAGCGGCAGGAGGCAGTGCAGGGAGGCTAGTTAAAACTAGGACTTCGAGTCAGTTGCCTTGGGTTTGACATCCCGGCACTAACCATAGCTGTGACTTCTGCATGCTAGACAGCCTCTCTGAGCCTCAGTTTCCCTACTGGATACTACTCACTCCTTTACATGCAGAAAGGCAGTCTAAGACAAGGGTTCTCAAAGTGTGGGCCTTGGAGCAGCACAGCAGCAACATCTCCTGGGGAATACTGTAACAGAAATTCATATTCTCAGGCCCAGCCAACCCTCCTGAGGCAGAAATTCTGGAAGGGGCCAGCAATCTGTTCTCACGTTCAAGCTCCACAGCCACTATCTAGCACTACAGTCTAGTAGTAAAGCACAAACACTGTGGAGCCTAAAGGCCTAAGTCCAGGCTTCACTACTTGCTAACCTGTGTCTTAACCTCTATGGACTCCTTCTTGACCTCCTTACTCCCCCAAGAACTTAACAGTTATTCCCTCATGCATGGAAAGCCAGGTCCAGCATCTGGAACCAGGATGCCTGGTCCCAGAGTCAGGAGGCCCCTTTTCCTCGTCAGGTGGCTTTCAGCAACTTTCCTGACTTCCACCTCACTGTAGAATGATAGGGAGGATCTCTCTCATCCAAGTTCTGGGACATTTAGAACATTGCCTGACACAAACACTGTCAGCGATGCTAAACAATATCTACTTGTCTAATAGTAGGTGCTCTGGAAGTGTTGGTTATTTCCATTATTATCTCTGCTCAAAGACCATATCATCCTCAAGGTCTGCTCTGCCCACCCCATCTCAGCCAAGTCTCACTCCTGTAGCCCTGCTGGCCTGGCACTTCCGCTCCTTCCACATCCTGCCTTTAATCCACTGCTAGTCTAGCCTGTTTGCCCTCCCTAAGGAAATGTTTCCTTCTACTTTTGTGAGTGTGTGTTCACAAGTCTTATGGCAATGTATCTGGAGTGGAGTTCAGGATAACAGTCTAGTTCTGAATCCTGTCTTTGCCTCTAACATATTAGCTGTGGGATCTCAGGTAAACAGACTCCCCTCACTGAGCCTCTGTCACTTGTCTGCAAACTGTCAATGTCTATTTGAAAACGTCTATTTGATGGGGGCATGGGGAGGCTAACATGGGATCATTCATGCCCAAAGCTTGGCACCATGCCTGGCGTGTGTCAAATCCCAGCTACTGTACTCTGTCACCTTGAAAATGGCTGGCCTGAGATAAAAATAGGGCTCACGGCCTACAGAACACTCCCCTGAGACTGATGGTGAAACAGAAAGGTTGACACTGAGCTGCAAGAAGTCCAGTTAGTTTCAGTGGAGGGGGACACCTAGCTATGTTCAAACAGGGTGGCTCTGGAAGGCCGCGGTCACTGCTCCGCTGATAGTGGTCAGGCCAGGTCCTTGACAGATCTTGTAATTAGGCAGGATAGATCCCCCACCTTCCTGGGTACCTGGGTGACTCAGATGAGCCCAATGACTCACGGTGGGTGTGGAGTGTGGGTAAAGAATGAGCTTCATTCATTCAGTCACTGAGACCCACTGGCTGTATTACGGTAAAAACCCGGCCACCCTGGCGAACACAGAGCTAAAACCTTTACCAGGCACCCCAACTTATTCTCTTCTAGACAGAAACACATCAGGACTAGTCTTGGCTTTTCACTTCCTCTTTTAAAATATGTCTGAATGCACAAAAAGCCACAGGTTCTGAAAGTCAAGTGAGACAGTCAGGGTCATTTGGGGACCTTTTGGTCTACAATGGACCACATCTGTGTAGTGACCCCCAGAGGTTGTACCCTCCAGCCCAGGTGCCCCCAGCTGCCATGCCCCCTCTGTTCTGACCACTCCCCTCCAAGAGCAATTCTGATAGCTTTCCCTAGATTCACATGAGTTTCTTCATGTGGATATAAACAGTTTGTTATTTTCTGTTTGAAACATAGAATAGCCTATTATGGACACTGCTTTGCATCTTGTCTTTTAATTTAAAAAGATATTTGGGGGATCTGATGGAGTCAGCGCTGTTGTCTTGATCTTGCTCATGGACAGTGGTCTAGTGTCCAGAAGGCTTTTCAGGTGTCTGCTTTCACAATGGCCATGATCAACCTTGTCTGTTCAAGTCACATGTACACTATAAGAGTGTGTGCATGTGCCATTCCCATTCAGATCCAGATGTTCACTTTTCTCAGAAGGCAAAGCAAGCTAAGAGAAGGTGGCAATGATGGAGGAAAGAACAGAAAATCCAAAGGAGGCATCACAAGACTGACTCACAAAAGGAGCTGAAGGTAGAAGGGATTAGCATGGCCAATGACCCAGCCATAAAAACTAAAATCCTCAAAACTCTCCATGTGCCACAGAAAGGAGAGCTCTGGAGAAACCTTTTCCAGGGTGAACCCAAGGACCCTGCAGTGCAAATCCACTAACTCTGAAAACGACATCAGCAACATTTCCATGAAGGTGCATCTCTGCCCAGGAAGCTAGCCTGCTCGCTAGTTCCCTTGAAGCCTGTCACAGATGAGGTAATGCAGACATTGTTACAGGGTACCCCAATGTGAATTGGGTTGCCTGTCTGAGGGTCTTCACCTGTGCACTTACGATTCATTTGTATTATGGGCACACTCAAAAGGTTAAATAATGGGTTTATTTATAAGGAGAAAGGTAAAGGAATAACCCAGGGAAAGAGGTAGAGAAACACAGGTTAACTAGGATGTCCTACCAGTTCTGTTGACTTGGACTCCACCAGCACATTGAAAACCAATTGAGAGTCAAAACGATCAGCTGCGAACCACCAGGTCCCCCCCCAGAGTCCACATGTCCGGTTTTATCCCAACCTGGCTGCTCAGCTCTGCCCTTACGTCCCTGCGTGCTTCTCCTTGGTACTGATGGGATTTGGAGTTCCAGCATCTGGAGTGGGGGCGGAGTCCATGAAACCTATACCTGTTACAACATGACTAGACCTCCGCCAGTCACAGCCTCCAGGCATATTATAAAAATCCTTAACACCTCCCTGGTGAAAGCAACTACTCAGACTTATCCATAAATGAGGTTGTGGCCTTTGGGTACACCCTCCTTGTCTGGTCCCTTTTTAAGACCAAGTTGACTTTTCAAAGTAATTACTCCTTCAGCAGATACTAGGTAGCAGATATGTTACCTGAGCTTTCCTTCCTAGAATGAGAAGAAGGAATTCTCCATTATCTTAAGATAATTATCACACAGAACCCTTTTAGTATACCTTCTATAGAAACTGGTCAGATGACATACCAAGAAAAGGTGATGGACTGGACACACTAGGTTCTTCCTGTAGAAAAGGCGCGCTGTTTTGTTTTTGAGGACGGGAAATAGAAAAGGTGACAATAGGAAGCGAACTAGAAGCTGTGAAGCAGAAGGACAAACTGATTACCCCACTTCCTATGCGCCCTAGAAAGGAAACAAATCCCCAATTTTTCCTAAGCCAACAGTTGGCTGTCCAAAGAGACAGCCTGGGTCGTGTGAGTGGCATAAAACAGGAGAGAGGACTGATGAGCAGCAGCTGCGTGTCAAGCTCCTTTCCCCTCACCCCAAGTGACTGGACGCCATTCCAGGGCAAGGGTCACTGACCCTGGGGAAATGGTGTGATAGAGATGGTGGTGTGCATCTTGCCAGCTCTTCTCTCACGCTGGCCTTTATACCTGGGCAGGAGGCAGGAGTTTCAGGAGGGTTTACCCAGCCCCAGAGGAAGACCGAAAGATGCTGACGTCTGGCGGGCCCTATGTGAGAGCAAAATGCAAATATCTGTGTATAATATGCTGTCTTGGGAGGGGACAGTGGCAAGGGGAAAGGAGGTTAAAAATAAGGACAGGCAAATGAGCTGTGCTGTTCTACACAGAAACCACCAGCTGGGGCTATTTAAATTTCAATTCATTACATTAAATGCCAAATGTGGCTTCTGAATCGAGCTGATGGTGTTTCAAAGGCCCAGAAGGCCAGGGCTCCCATGCTGGATAGCGCAGACACCGGTGGTTCCTCGTGGGGCTGTGGATAGAAAGCTACATAAGATGTATAAGCAACCAGTACCTCGGGTGGCCTCTGAGGAGGGGGCCTGAGTGACAGGAAGTGACATGGGGACTTTTCATCATGTATCCTTTTGAATTTAGGATCACCAGCATGTTACTGATTCAAAAAGTCAGTAATTAATTTTTTTTTAAAGGAATAGCACTCTCCCTGGACTGCCACTTGGCTTTCAAGAACTTCTTTCTCCTTTTTAAAAAAACACTGAGGCAGGCCAAGGTGAAAACCCAAAGTGTACTCCAAGTTTGGCCTGGATTCCAAGATGGCTCCCAAACTAGAAGCTTCAAGGATAATCCCTTTCCTTGAAGGCTGTAATTTATGAAGGAGTCACTTCTCCTGGGGCAGCGCTACCTAGTGTGCCCCCAGGGAGGGTCAGGTGAAACTTATTTATTCAGGGTGGACAAGTAATAACTGTAAACAGCTCATTAAAGAACAGTGGGTGGGGAATGCATGTGTGTGTACCCCCAATGAAATGATTTGGGCCCTCAGCCCCCTGGAGGCTAAAACTGTGCAGAAGGGGGTCTGACTTTCATTTTCAAACTAGGGGAAAATCAGGAAGTGAAGAGCATGGCCCTGGGCCTGAACTGTGTGGGGCTGAAGTTCACCTTTTACTAAGTAGCTATGTGACCACAGGACAGTTACTTAACCTCTCTGTGCTTCAGCTGCTTTGTAAAATGGAGACACGAAAGGTGGGGGAGCCCTACCTTACACTGCTCAGCTGAGATTTAAATGAATCACAATATGTAAAGTACTTAAAATAGTGTCTGGCACATAGGAAATTATTATCAATATTCTATGTGGGGAAGGGCTGGGCGTGGCCTGGTGGCTGATCAGGGTTATTGCTGGGCTTGAGATGGAGATGGGAGAATGCTCACACCTGATTCTGAAAAAGTGGGCTCACACCCTGAGGGGAGCCTTACCTATACATGAGAGAAAAGCACTGCCAGAGGGAGAAATCAGTTGTCCTTCCTTCCCTCCCCTCATTCTTCACTTTTCAAGTCCACCCTGAAGTTGGGTGAAAGCAGCAGAATGACACAGGAAGTGTCCAGGAAGGAGGAGCAACCTTTCTGCCGTTCATCCAACACCTGGAACTCACTGCAGCCTCTGGCTGTTCCTTCCGCCTCAAACACACTGGCATAGAGAGGTGGTCTCCTCCCTCCATTCTCTCTCCTCTGTTTCTCAAAGATACCCCCCCACCACTACTCAAATGAAAAAAGCACCCTTATACCTCACCCTGTTCTCCCGTATGATTCCTCTCCTCCGTCAAATGACCTCATGCAACACCCTCTCTGCTGATTCTTGATTGGGGTCTGGGTGCTGGGGTGATCTCACTTTATGAACAAGCATCGAACTACTTAACTATCACTTGTGCATTTCTTACACATGCATGTGGTTTTTAAAATGTGGGTGTTTAGATAGCACCTCCCCTCACTTCCAATTCCTGACCATCTAGCACAGACTCCTATGGCCCTTCCATAACATCCTCCTTCCGCTAGACTTGCGAGGCCATTCTGAGGGTCAGCTGGTCAGGCAGCCAACAGACCGAAGTAGCCGTGTGCATTTCCATTCATCAAGATGCAATACAAGTTTCAAATTCAGTTCCTCTGCCCACAGGAGCTATATTTTAAGAGCTCAAGAGCCACACATGCTGGAAACTCCCATACGGGGTCCTCTAGGATTCCCAGGGGGCATCAGCACAGGATAGCTTGGTGCCCCAGAGGTCTCCCTAAGTCCTTGTCAAACACAGGCAAGCACACAGGAAGGGAGCACAGCCTGAAGGCTGCCAGGGCAGATGAAGAACCTGCAGGGGGTCTCAGCCAACCTCTCCCCGGACCTCACCTTGGCCTCAGGGTCGGTGCGGAAGAGGCCCTCCAGCACGTGCAGCGCGTCCAGGACGCCATGGTCACGGCCCTTGCAGTAGGAGAGCAGGCGGTGCACATCCGCTGGGGCCACGAACTGCTTGGAGATCCTGTTGGTAGTGCGCACTGGAAGGCAGGCATTGGCCAGCAGGTGGCCGGGGCGGAAGTAGTAAGCAAACTCGAGCGGGCAGGCCGGGTGTGAGTGTGTCAACTGGCACTCTGTCACCACGAGGCGGTCCCGCAGCGGGCTCAGCTTGACGATGATGAAGGCTGGGCAGCCTGTCTGGGGGGGCCTGTGGGAGGAATGACCATCGCCTCTGTCATATCACCCTGCCACCCTTTCCTTCTCCCAGGAATTTTTGCCTGTATCTTGTTTATTGCTGTATTCCCAGCACCTGGGACCGGCCCCTGACATCTGGGAGGGGCTCCATCAGTACAGGATAAATGAGTGAAGGAGTCCCACAGAATGCACACCAGAATACCCTCAGCCTGTCAAAACAAGTCACCTAGCCCCACCCAGCTTGCCTTCTAAACTATACAAACCACCCACTTATTTTCCAGGTTATAGCCAGTGCCTACTATAAATTCTGTCCTTAGTCCTGAAACATCCTTCACTACACCAAGCCAGGGTTGCCTCACCCAGGAAGCCTTCCTTGACTATTCCCTGGGGAGTGCAGATTCTATCACATATAAGGGGGGTGGTCTAGTTGATCTATAATGCAGGATCCCCACTGAATGGGGAGCTTCCCCACCCGAAACCCTACCATTTAAAATACATTCTCCCTGCACATAACTGGTGTTCAAAATAAAACTCCTGGATGAATGGGTAAACAGTATGGAGCTTAGGACCAAAAAAATCTTTAGGGTATTGTTACATTCCATGCCTATGAAGAAAGCATGGTGAAATGAAGAAAAGAGAGAGAGGAACAGAGATAAGGAAGGGCAGTGATCGAAGGGAAGAGCTATATGTCCAAATCCTGGTTTTTTCCCTCCGATCAGCTGTGTGACCTTGGGATTGTCCTGTAACCTCTCTGTGCCTCTATCGTCTCATCTGGAAATTGTAGCTAATACAACACCAGTCTTTGAGGTTCACTTCAAGGATTAAACAAGGACTTGAATCATGTCAAGTGGTGAGAAAAGGGGCGGGCAGGTAGGAGACTAATGAAAAGTATGCCGTGTCCAGCAGTTTTTTTCTTCCACAAGAACCATGGCTATCATTAGCTTTGCCGCCATAGGCCCACTTTTTCTTGGGTCTTTCATTTCAGGTTCTCAGATCTTTGTGTTTTCAAAGGCTGGTGTTTTGATGGAAGAAGTGTTGAGCTCAAGGGAGGGTGGGGCAGATTGGGAGCTGCAGAGAGAAGTGGGGATGGAGATTTAGAGGACAGGAAGAAAGCCTGGTTGTGTGTTCTCAGACCTGGTCTCCCACTTATCTCTCCCTTCCAGTCGACCCGCAAGTGGCCCCAAAAGGATCTTTCTGCTCACAGCTCTCCTGTGGTTCCCTAGCACCCTAGGACTAGCCCCTAGACTCACTGCTGGCCATCTGGGCTTGACCAGCCACACCCCTGCCTTTGCCCCCACTCTAACTTTGGACACACCTGACCTAGACCTCAGCGCTTGGGCTGTCCCTGGGCTGTGGCTTAGCAGAGGCCCTGCCTGAGCAGCAGGGGTTAAGGGCGGATGGGATACGGGGCCTTATCCTCCTCCAACCAGCTCATCAGCCATCCAGCACCAGCGCTCCCCACCCAGGGACCAGCCCATCACCCACCCTCCCAGCCCTCTGCAGCTCTGCTCCCTCTGATGTCTGTAGCTCACTTGGCACAGTAAGCGCCACATGTTTGTTCACTCCAAATATACATAAACAACTGAACCCTTCCAGCTTCAAACTAATGGCCTCTTCTAGGAGCTTTCCTGGACCACCCTGTAAGCTCTGGAGCAGAGCGTAACACTCCTCTTTCATTCTTCTTCACCTCAACCACTAGGGCACTATTTCCAAATGATTTTTTGCCTTTGTCCCCTCCATTAAGCTTGGAGCTGCTCAGAGGCAGAGTCCCTGACCACTGAGGAGTTTGCACAAATTAGGGGGGTTCACTATCCATCTGTGACTTTGATTCTATTAACAGAGATTCCAGATGGAACCTCAGCTCGATGTAAGCTCTCATATTCAAGAGTTCATGGTGACTGTGTGTGATGCTGTTCTGTCCCCAGATCTCTATGTCCCTGCTTGTAGAATAAGCTAAGATGAACTACCATCCCATGATAAATATTTAAGTCACCAAGGGTGAGTCTCACCTGAGAGAGTGCTCACTCTGGGCGGGACACTTCCCAGCGATTTGTAGGGATTGGCTCACTTAGTCCTCACAAAACCACGACTTCTCCCATTTCCAAGTGAGGAAACTGAGGCCTAGAGAGGTGAAGGCACTTGCTCAATGTCAGCAGCTACCGGGCAGTGAAGCTGAGGTCTAGACCCAGATTGCTGGCTCCTAAGTCTGTGTTCCTGACCCCTGTAACAGATGTGGATTCCTCAGCCAGCCTGTGTCCCAGGCTCCATGGAAGTGCCTTCCTGAGCAAGGTCTCACGGCATCCACATCACAGCCCCAGATGGCAGGGGCAGCCCCATTCCACAGATGAGAAAAGTGAGACTTTGAGAAGGAGAGTCCATTGCCCAAAGACAGGATGTGGCAGAGTCCAAAGACAGGATGTGGCAGAGTTGGTCTCAGGCAGCACAAAGCCCTTCTACAGGATCCCAGATGAGGGTCTCAAGTTTACCCACCTAATGAGGCCAGGTGAGCAAAATAAGGAATTGGTAGCGCTAAGTGCATGGTGCCAGGGAGTAGGGGTCTGACACCTGAGTGCCAGTGTCCTGTCTAACTGCGATGGCATCTCCTTCTCTGTAAACTTTCCTTTTTGACTCACCTCTGTGCAAGGTGGATTTAGCTGTTTTAGTGGGCATCTCTCCCTCCAGTTTCTGACTTGGGGGGCTGATCCCTCCCCCTAACACTCTTCCCTACCCCCCAGCACCCAGCAAGGCTCCAGCTTGGGCTCACGCACCCCACGGCAGGCCGGCTGGGCGCGCGCACATCCTTGCACACAAGGCGAACGTAGCTGTACTTGAGCACGTCGATGAGTGTGTAGAGCGGGGGTGCACTGGCCCAGCGGCAGCGTGCCAGGTGCATGGAGCTCTTGACGAAGAAGAGTGCCAGCCGCTGCTGACACCATGCATCAAAGAAACGGCTGAACTCAGCCCATGAGAAAAAGGCCCGTTCACGAAGTTCCTGTTCCTCCTGCCCCACCACCGTGCAGGGTGGGGGCTCTGGCTGCTCCATTCTGGGGCACCTAAGTGAAAGAGTGGACCATGTGGTTATCAGATTGCCTCACCCTAGTTCCTCTCTTCTCTACCTGCCTCTTGGGTGCTGGTGCCTATATCCAAGTGGAGTACAGGGCCTGATGCAGCTATCAACCTCCAGGTATGAATCTCCGTATCTTTTCCAGCCACCTCCTACTCCCTGCATTAATTCTGGGACAGCTGGAGCCTGTCATCCTGGCACCTAACTCCAACTCTGCTCTCTGTGGTGTGACCCCTTAGTTACAGTTTGGGGTTCCCACTCCCGAAATAATCCTTTAGTTGTGGACACCTCCTTAAATATGTACCCAACTTTCATCTATCCGTCAGCAGATGTGTCTCCTACACTGGGTGGTGAACTCTAGTCCCCTGCTTCATATGGAACTGCCCTATACCTGTTTGCAACCCACTCACCTATGCCTCCCCTGCCCCAAATCCTCAGATGTGCTCCTCACATGCACAGACCCTCCCCTCCTTCTCTTCATGCACCTGTAGGGCTTCCTTTCCAGATATTTCCCCTCCCCTAAATGTGAGCCCTATAGGTCGCCACAGCTGACCCCCCCCCCACTTCAATATGACCCTCTTCTTACAGGTGTGTGCCCCATTGACTTGAGGCCAATTCTCACAAGTGTCACCAATCTGTGACCCCTTCCTCTCTCGGCTATAATCTGCCTCAGATGTGCACCCTGGACCTACATATCTCCCCCAGCCCACGGCCGGCTTCATCACCCTAAATGCTCCACTGTGTCCAGCTGTGCTTTCCCCTCCCCCCTCACTCCCCCGTAGCACCGCCCCTCCCAACTCTCCCAATTCCCCAGCCCCTTCCAGCTCCGCCGGCCGCAGCCCCTCCCACTCCCGCGGTCCCAGCCAGCTGTGTCTCTCCCCTCCTCCAGATGTGCACCCTTCCCGCCCCTCCCCACTCACCTACCCGCCCCGGAGCGGCGTCCACCTCCCACAATGCCCTGCGCACCGAAGCCCGGCCCGGCCCTTGCTCCCGGGATGCCCCGCGCCGCCTCCCGCCTCTCTTCCCACCGTGCCTCGCGTTACGGCTTCCTCCTCCTTTCCCTGCCAGTCACTCCTCCGACCTGCAGCCACACCCGCTCATCCATAGCGAGGGAAGGCTCGAGGCCGTTTCCCAGGGTGCTCTGCGGGTGGGTTCGCCCCACTTCACCCTTTTTCCTGACAACCTCCGGCTCCGGAGACTACAACTCCCAGCGTCCTCCGCGCCGCAGCCCCGGCGCAGAAGTGACCGGGGCCCCGCCCACAGCTCGGCGCCGCCCCCCACCCGCGAAGTCTGCGCGCGAATTCTGTGGCGCCAATTTGGAGCTGTGTCGAGCGCCCAGCGGTTCCGGGTGTGAAGCCCAGGACTGCGGCACGCACGGCCTGTGAGCGGCAAGTAGGGCCTGGGAGGCGGGGAGTGTGTGCGTGTTGGGCCCACGGAGCCCGTGGCCTTACCGGGCCCATCGCCAGGGGAGGAGCGACCTGGAGGCCACTCAGTCGGCCGAGAGCGCGGGTGTGAGGGCACCGGCCTCGGGCCACTGGAAGTAACCGGGTGCTATCTGCAGGAGTGTGCGGGTTACCTGGAGAGGGGGCTCGGGACGAGTGGGGTCGGAAAGAATTTGATTAGAGGCCTGGAGGGGCGGGGACGCCCGGAAAGGGGCGTGGTCGGAGGGCGGGGACGTGAATAATTTGATGATGGGCGGGGCTAGGGGAAAGGTTGGTGTGACTCAGTGGGGTTTAAGGGGTGGGCCCAAGTGGCCTGGGAGAGGTCAGTGGCCAGGGCTGGGTATAGGCAAAGACTGTATGAAAAGCCGGGGGCCTCTTGGATTGGGAGGAGTCTGTTGAAAACGGGGCACCCTAGAAATCCTGGAGACCGAGACTTGGGTAGGGGGTTGGGTCAAGGAGAGAGCGGGTGAAAGATCTGGGCATCTAATCACTCAGGTGTGGAGAGAGGCTCTGAGGAGTTTCGGACGGGAAGAGGAATTTGATGTCCCTAGGCGAGGGGAGAAACTTGAAGAGAAAGGGGGAAAGGAATTGTCGGGAAGGAGGGGCAATGGGAAACGGGAGCCAACTTCTGAAAGCTGACCGGGAATATGACTGACCTCTCTCACTGACTCAAAGGCAGCTTAAGAATGCCGAGGGAAAGACTGGGAAGTTGTGCAAAGTAGGTCGGTCTCGATTTCATGGTATGTAAGGATCCCCTGGAGCTAGACCTGCAGATTTCCTCCTCCATTTCCAGAGCTTTTACTTCAGTAGGTGGAAGTGGAATGGAGAGATCTGAAACTGAATTGTCTTAAACTGAATCCTAAGTGGTCTCAGAATGTGCATCCTCATCCCCCTAGCTATGGTTGATTGATTGGCTGTGTGGTCCTGGGAGGGCCTCTGTGGTCTCAGCTTCCTCAGTTGCCTTTTGAGGGATGCTGAGCTGTTCCTGAGATGAGGAGAGTAGCAGATTTAGGAGAAAGGTGTAAAGTGTTCCCATAGGTGAGGTGGGGCTATGTGAGCTTTCATTGGCCAAAGAGTTCATTCATCAAGTCTATGAAATGAAGGTCAGAACATGTGAGCTTTCATTAAGTCTGCAGGGTTTTTGAAATATCCTGCCTATGAGCCATCAGTTCTTTAGGAATGTTTCCATTATCCCAGCTTTCGGTAAGCAAATACTTGTGTATGTATATACTGCTGTGTTCAGGCCCAGGTATCACTTTAGATCCTGCAGTCATTGTCACTTGACAAAGTAGACAATATCCATCTAGATGGAACTTATACTTTAGCTCTCACCACTAAATGCAGTGGCCACTGGCCTTGTGTAGTTCTTAACATTTAAGTAAATTAGAAATACAAGAGAAGCTCAGTTCTTTGGTTGCACTAACTGCATTGCAGATGCTCCTGAAGAGGGTTCCTGCTCCCAGTGCAATATGGGTCCCATACCAACAGGCATTTTTTGGATGCCAGCAGGGCGCCCTAGAATTCAATTTGATTGAGACACTGTCTCTACCAGATGAGAGCTTCAGATCCCATGAGTAAAGGGCTCCTTCTCCCAAGACCACCCTCCCCTGAAGAGGTCAGTAGCAATCCCAGGCTCTCACCTGCGTTTCCAGTGACAGGCTAGAGATCCTCCTCAGACTTCAGGTGCCAGTCTGCAGCATTTAGACCAACTAGTTCTAAAGGAGAGGGCTCCCACAACCCCCTCTTCAGGTTTGACTAAGTCGCTAGAGCCACTTAAGTGAACTCAGGAACAGCCTGTGGAAAGAGGGGTTTAGGGCCAGAGATAGAGGAAGATGAACAGCACCTTGCCCTCAGCAAGTGGGTCCTCAGCCAGCACTCCTTCTGGCTTACGAGCCCGGAAGCTCTCTGCAGGGCCCTCTCGCAGGGTTGGGTTTTTGTGGAGGCTTTCTCAGAGTCTTGATGGATTAACTCCTTGGCTATTGGTAATTGATCCAACCTGGGGACAGAGGGTGGGACTAGAATGTCCAGCTCCTAATCTAGTGGTTGGTTCCTAGTCGGCCAGCCCTTTCCGGTACTTCTCCTAATTACCTTACGTTCATTAACATAACAAGAGATGCAGTTACTTACTGCAGTTAGGAAATTCCAAGAGAATGGAGGGGTCTTATGAATTAGAATTGGATGATGATCAAATAAATATATGAGAAATGTGGTTTTTTTGTTTGTTTTTTTAACCTGATAGGTTTCTGCACTTTGGTCCTGTACAGCCAGTCTTCTCATCAAGAATGTGGGTTTCTGTTTTCAGGCACAGCTAACAGAAGAGAAGAAGAGGGGAAGGGAGGGTTCTGACGCCATCATGCAGCGAAGTATAATGTAAGGATCCCCCCCCCCCCCACTTCACCGCTTCTCTTTCATTTTCTCTGAGCTTGGTGTTTCTAGGAGTTGAGCAGCACATGGAACCCATCAGCAGTGGGTTCGTCCCCCAGGGAATAAAGAAGTTGGTGGTTGTCACAAGTGGGGAGAAAGGGGTTTCCTTGGAGGCTGTAGTTTGTAAAGACCCTGCAAGCGTCCTGCCTCAGTCAGGGCCCCTCTCCCCTCTTGCCTCCCTCCTCCCCTCAAAGAAACAGTGATTGTCTAGATGTTAGTGTGCCAGCTGATGCTAGCTGACTCTGGGAACAGAGGCACAGAATGTGATAGTGGAAACTTTCTGGCTTGGTCATTAGGTCCATTTGCTGAGACTTTGTCCCTGGGAGTCTCTCTCCCCATCATTGGGCTCTATTTGCTTGCTGCTGTGGTACTTTGGCAGGCTCTTCCTTGAGTTAGAAGTCCCCCTGGGACCAGAGCATCCCACTCCCCACTGCCCCATCCATAGTGAGAGTCAAGTTCCACTGGTCCAGTTCAAGCCCAGGGACTGTCCTGGAACCTGAGTCACCTCAGCCATGGAATGCAGGACTGATATGCCAAGCCTGGGGCCTCTTGCCCACCTTGGGGGTGGCGAAAAAGCAGGCCTTTAGAGCTGAGATAATTTCCTCCCCACCCCCAGGAAAATGGAGGGACTGCATTGTTGACAAACCCAGACCTGGCTGATAGCCAGAGAGCGCCAGAGATGGGAGATGGGGTCTGCACAGACCCCAGGCTACATGTTTCTCTAGTGGTGAGAAATCGGTTCAGGTTGAGGGCTTTCCATTCTCCCTGTTCTGTTGTATTTGTTTTTAAAAATCAAGCAAACTTTTTGGGGTGTGGAGCAAAAGAGGGAAAATTATAGGTGCTTTGGTGGTGAGCATGGTATGTGGTAACCTACATCTGAAGAGGGTGTACTTGTAACCCTAAATTGTACCTATAAACCATTGTCACCTCCATTAAAAAAAAAAAAAAGATGGTTAATATACTAAAAAATTAAATAAACCATTTATATGGAAGAATTTTAAGTGTACAGAAAAGTTGTACACTTAAGAATTTTAAGAATACAGAAAGGGATTCCTGCAGATCACCCACCCTACTTCCATTGATGACATTCTATGTGATGACCCATCTGTTACCAAAAATAGCCAGCATAAGTCCATTCCCATGAGCTGAGTGCCACACTTCCATTGAATTTGCAGATTTTCTCTGAGTGACCTTACCTGTTCCAGGTTCTGGTTTGTAGGGCCATGCTGCCTCCTGGTCTCCTCTATACAGCCTCACTTTGTTCCTCCATCTGGGCTGTCTGGTGCTGTAATTGGGGCGGTGGGCTGTAGTGTGAGGTTGGCTAAAGTGTGGTGAGCTCTCTTCTTCTCGCCATCAAGTTCCTGTTTTTTTCTTCTCAGTTTTGTCTACTCTGAACACAGCTGGGCTAGCCAGTCTCCTGCAGAGGGATCTTGCTTTACTTAACCTTTTCAGAGCATTTCAGTAACTCCTGACATTTCATTTTATACTTAAGTTACTTGTTTAATATTTGCCTTCTCCCCTAGCGTATCAGTTGCTTGAGGTCTGGGACTTAGAGTCACCACTAAATCTTGAGGGCCCAGGACAGGCTCTGGTGTATTATAAGTGTTAGTTAATACTTATTGAGTGAAAATTAGGATGTGTTGTATCTCAGGGGAGTTGAGGCAGACAAACAGGATTGCCTCTGTCTGAGCTCCTTTTTCCAGTCAGTCAAAGGGGATAGCTTGAACTCCTGTTATAAGGTAGGTTAGGAACAGGTACAGGGTTGAGTGCAGGGCAAGTGAAGAATTATTGGTGCTGCTATTGTTCACCCTTTTCTTCCCCCACCTTATGTTCTTCCAGGTCATTTTTCCAACCCAAGAAAGAGAGCAAAGCAACGAAGCCAGAGAAAGAGACATCCAATAGCACCAGAGAGCCAGAACCCCCTCCAAAGTACGTAATGGGAACAGGGCCAGGATGTGTGGGGTGGGCAGAGGGGAGGCAGTCTGTTCTGTGAACAACCAGAACTCTCATGGCTGCCAGTGATACAAACCAGCTCAGAATGTCTGGGCACCAGAAGGAAGTTTTTTACTTCAGTAACTAGGACATCCAAAGTTAGGTGCAGCTTCAGGCACAGCTAGATATAAGGTCTCAGCATTGTCTCAGAACTCTGTTCCTCACGTCTTGGTTTCATCCTGGAGCAGACTTTCACCCTGAGGTAAAGAAGCTGGTCACTGGCTTCATCTTGATCCGAGTAGACCAAGGCATTGTTTCCCTCCGCCAGAGTCCACATCAGTTTTCCAGATGACCCTGCTTGCGTCCTGTGAAACCCTCTGGGCCAGTTAACCTGCCAGATTTCCTTCGCATCCCTAACTTGGGAGCCTGGGCAGGGAATGTCCCCTTCTGGTGCTTCGTATCCTCACCTGTCATAGGGGTATCTATATCTCAATCAGACTTTTTTCTGGGGGTTCAGTGAATTCACACATTATAGCATGTGGGTGCTCAGCAAGGTGGGATTCAAATAAGAATTTTGCCTAACTCCTACTTTAATGTAAAAAAAAAAAATTATAGATAAATAGCTTGTCACAACTTAGATAACATGACTCAGGGTGTTTTTCTGTCCATGAGCACAGGGCTTTCAGATCCTTTGTTCTTTCTGCCTTGTTTACAACTGTATGGCTTGTCTACGGGAACTAGTTAGCACTCCCCTGCTGATGGGTCTTTGGCTTGTTCTCAACTCCTAGCTGACAACAACCTATGTCACCATAAATAGTTTTGTGTGTCTTCTTGGGCATGTGCTTTCTGGCAGAGGTATCCGTAGTTAGAATTATATGTGGTAATTGTTTACACATCAGCTCAGAGAAATAGGTAAAGTAAAAAGTTAAAGTCCTTAATAATAATTTCTCTTCAGCCGAATTACATTACCCACTTGAGTTACAGTCTTCCAGACCTTTATTCTGTGCGTCTAAACATGTTCTCAAGGTATAGTTATGAACACATAGTAGGTGCTCAGTAAATATTTGTTGAGCGACTAAGTTACAGATGGGGAGCAGGGACCATCCTTTGGTCCCTGTTACTTTTCAAGTTTCTGGCACATGTCCAACATAATGCTCAGTAACACATCCCTTAAATTTATTTTTAGCTAGCTAAAGCAGAATTTGCAAGTTGCAGACACTGATGGATGTACATTTGTGTATATTTTTACATTCATGGAATCACATTATGTACATTTATTTACCCAGCAAATACATATCCTCTTCTGCATGCTAGACCCTGTTCTAGGCCCTGTGGGGTTAGCCCTGAATAAAATCGACAGCGATACTTTTATTTCACCCCATGAAAAATGTCCTAGGGCCCCTCCCAAGACACTTCATCTGAACCCGCTACACTCTCGTGAATGACATTCTGAGACACTTTGATTTCTCCATCCAGACTGGGAGCTCTGCACATGCAGGGACCTGTACGAATCGGCCAAGTCCTTGGTGCCCTAAGCGCTACCATTGGCATGTTACATGCTTGCTGTATTTTCATGGGCTGTGTTCCTCCCCACCACACTGGGGGCTCCGCAGAGCCAGTGCTAGGTAGTTGAGTTGCTGAACCGAAATCTTAGTTACTTGATGAAATGAAAAGCTGCCATTTCTCACTTGTCAGATTCTGAGCTGCTTAGCTGATTGAGGGCAGGTAGGCAGTTCTGTTCCACTACGTTGTCCTAGGCTCCTTTCTGCCGTCTTTCCACCTCCATCCCCTTCTCTCTGCTCTGCCAAGCCCTCTGTGCATTGTCTAAACAGGTCTGCAAGGCCAAGTTCCAGGAGTAAGATGGCAGTTAGTACAAGCAGAAGCAAGTTGCATGTTTCAGTCATGCCACTTACTCCCCAGTGATCAGAGCTAGCCATGTCTAACCTCAGGGAAGGCTGGAGGTGGAGTCCCTAGCTGGGCGCTATACATGGACCAAAGCTCAGGAACTTGATGTGATGGAAGTCAAGAGGGTCTCCAGATGGATGTTGGAGGCCAGTCTCTACCCAAAGTAGAGTTCTTAAGCATCATCTATCACAAGGTGAGTATCTAGGAGGCCTCCAGATTAGTTTGGTGAATGGATGGTTGATGAAGAGTCTGTGCCAAGGAGGCCCCTAGGAAAAGTTCATTGAATGGTTGTTTGGAAGGAAAGGAAGGGGCTGAAACATTGCAAGGAGCTGGAGTGTGGGCAGTATCCCTACTCTGCCTGCTAGAAAAATCTGTTTTCCCATCTTTTAGAGTGGCACTGAAGGAGCGGAATGGAGTGGTACCTGAGAATGACTCACCTGTCAAGAGGCCAAGGAGGAAGTTAGTTCGGGCCCTGGGCAGCGAAGGAGAAGAGGAGGAGGAAGCCCTCACTCCCCCCAAAGTCCTGGTAGGTCCCTACCAGCCTGCCCATTTTTACCAAAAGAAATAATTCCCCTTGGCCTTTGGAACTGCGAGCTGCAGCTACTCCAGAGAATTCCGGAGACTGCCCTGGGGGTGGAGGAGTTTGTTGGATGCCTTGGGGCAGACCTGAAGCCTAGTCTCCGTGATTACCTTGATTAGCTCACTTGTAATGTGCAGCCCGGTCCTAGTAGGGCAGCTCTGAAGAAGAGAGGAATCAGTTCTCACACTGATCTGAGGACAATGCCTGATACTCAAAAGAAGGCCTTAGAACCATTTCCAGTCTCTCCTATCAGAGGTCTTTTTTAGTTCTCCAAAATAAGTCTGCTCACTTCCTTCCCTTCTCCTGTTTATGTCAGGTAACATCCGTTCAGTGTACAGCAGAAGAAAAACTTCAGTGCAGCGTTTTTCATTCTGTGTGTCGGGGGGTTGGGGGGCTGGGGGTGGAAGGTGAGCTTACTCACTGCTCCAGCCCCAGTATTGGCCACTCAGGCCAAAGCCTGACCTTAGAGGAACCTACGGGGCCTCCTGAGCTCCTCCCCACTGCATCTACAAATCTTTCTGGGCTCACTCTGCCCTGGCCTCTCATGTACCCACTGGGGCTTGTGCTCTTTCCTGCTATTTGCTCTTCCCCCTGAGCACACACGTGGCTCTGTGCCTCCCCCTCTGCAGGTCTTTGCTCATGTGTTACCTCCCCAAAGACTTCCCTCACTTCTAGACTTAGCTGCCATCACAATTTACACTCACAGGGTCTTGAATCAGCAGTCAATTTTGTTGTCTTCTGACTCTGAACAGAGATCTGACACTGGCCTGTGGAGGCTAATATCAAGGTGTGGGCAGGTTTGTGTGGCTTCTGGAGGCTGGGGACTGCATCCCTTCCCCGCCTTTTCCAGCCTCTAAGACCCCTTTCCTCTGTTTTCAAAGCTAGCACCTCTGTGCCTTTCTTGTGGGTCGTAGCTTGTTTCCTTTCAGCTTTTTTACTTTCTAGGTTGCGCAGGATCATCCCCCTGTCTTCTTTTTTTTTTTTAAGTTTTATTTATTTATGCATATTAAGAACTGGGGTACAGGCCAGAGGTGGGGATGGGGTGAGAGTGAGGAGCAGAACAGGCAGATGGACTGAAACACACTGCTGAGGGAGCAGCGGGGAGACAGGAGAGATCTGCGCCTTGTGGGTCACTCCCTGCCTGGGGATCAAACTTGTGTTGCAGCGACCGCATACAGCTTCATAGTACTGTGCTTTAACCCCTTTGGCAACCAGGGAAGCCCCCATCCCCTCATCTATGATCTGCAGCCTTGATCCCCACTGCAACCTTAACTGCTCCATCTGTGTCAGTGAACATAAAAGAAATGAATTGTCAACTGGGTACAACGTTAGCAACTAGATAACCGAAGAGGCAGAGAGAACTTGACCTTATGGAGGTTGCAAACACAGGTGCTACTGTCATGCCTCTGGCCATGGAGCTAAAATGAATCTTCATGGGGGGGATGCTGGCCACTGGGTGCTGGGACCTCTGAGCCAGGAGGGAATGCCCTCCTGACCTAGGGCTCAGATCTTTGAGGAAGCAGCACAGGGCAGGGGGTGTGGTATGGCTGGTATCTCCTTTGGGGCACCACATAGTGGACCCTTGGGCCCTAGAGGTGTCTGGAAGCTTGAAGCACTGTGTAGCACTGAGGGTCATGGCCTCACCCAGCTGCCAAGGAGGCTGGGAAATGTAGTCTTATACCACCCTAAGCCTAGCTAAAAATAAAAAATTCTGTCACTTGAGGAAAAAGTTTTATTATTGGTGTCCACAATGGGGAGGGTAAGGGACCATGAAACCACATAGGAAGGGGGCGTGATGGCCCTGGGAGGAGAAACTGAGCCCTGAACCAGGACTGGGGCCATGGGACCAAGAAAGCAAGCTTTAGTGTCTAATCTGTTTTCAGCTAACTGGGAAATGAGATGGCGAGGTGGTCCCACCTTCTTCCCTAACTCTAGAATTGCTTTGTTTCCCAAACTTCCAGAAGCCTGCCCCAGACTCCCCGCCAGTGTCCCCTCCCAGTCCTGTCACCTTTCCTGATAGCAACTCTTCGCCCTCGGATACCTCTGCTGTGGGCATCTCCCCTTCTGGGATACCCAAGCGTCGCACAGGTAAGGTCACGTGTGCCCTAGCCTTTCAGCAGCCCCTCTTCCTTCACACTGGGGCTTTACACCAGGGACCATCCTTCTGCTGGCTGTGTGTGGTCAAGAGCAAGGCCACAATATCCACTGGCTGAGTCACCTTGGGCAAGTGACTTAACTTTCTTTGACCTTCACTTGCTTCCTCCGTAGAACAGAGGGTGATGATTGCAATACCCATGTCACACAGGCCAGAGTGTTGGAAGTGAATATATGTAGAGCGTCTGGGACCGAGGGTGTCCCCTAGTAAGGGAGAGGGAGCCATCTGGTGACCACATGCCGTGATGGAAGGGGCACAGGTGTGTCAGGCCACAACTCAGGAAGACTTCTCAAGGAGAGAGTAACCAACCTGAGCCCTGAGAGTATAGGAGTGAGCAGGGACTGAGTAGAGAGAGAGTCCTAGACAGGGGGTGTAAGCGTTGAGATGGCTTTTTGGGGCTGTTGATGACTCAGTGTGCCGGTGCTTTGAACACAAGTTAAGGGGCAGTGAACTATGGGACCAGAGATGGCCCCTTGAGAGCCGACCTGAGATGGGGCACTCGGCCCCCTGGGAGAAGGAAGCTTTGGCCCTTAGGAGGGGCACTGAGGCACCTACCTGGGCAGCATGACCCCAGATCTGGCTCCTAAGCAGGATGGCATTTCAACTCAGTGGGAGCTGACATCAGGCTCAGTTCCTGGAGCCTCCTGCCAAAGGCTGGAGGTATGAGAACCTATCCTTGCAACAATAAATTTAGTGAAATCTAGTCATTGAGCAAGTATTTCTGATAAAAGTTTGGGCCCAGTTGATGGTGAGGGAAGCTCACCGGGTCTAGAGCTTGACAGAGAGCGTCAACCATTCAATATTGAAAACCTGTTGGCGTGGTAATATTTTAGATAACTATAAAAAAAAAGAAACTAAGTTTACCTATTCTGTCTCTTCTCACTGTCACTGCTGGAAAATTTAGGATTACATGTTGGCTTCCCTTGGGGGAGTGCATGCCTGTAACAGTGACATAGGCCAAGAGTTGGCTGGCCCAGAGGTGGTAAGCCATGGCTCACTGAGCTATGGAGAGGGCTTGGGTCAGGCTGTGTTGAGGAGGCGTGGGTGGGCTGTGTAATTGCCAGCAATGGCATGTGCAAAGTCCTCTGGGGAGGAAATCAGGGAGCAGGAAGAGTTGAAGGATAGTGTGTGATGGAAGATGGATTAGAGAGGAGACTGTCTCACAGAAGACCTTGTGTCATAGGCACTAAGGAGTCTGGGTTTTTTCCTGAGCACTAGGGAGTCATGGGAGGCCTGTGAGCTGGAAAGGCAGAGGTACACCTGTGAGAGATGGCCACAAAGAAATGTTACTGGCTCAGGGCATGTGGGAACTCAGGGCTGTCACTAAGATTGACCCTGGAGATGTTCATGGATTTTGTTTTCAAGGAAGTGACATCTGAGCTTTCCCCCAAAGGATTGCTAAATACACAAAGGCCCAGAGGTTTTCAGGGATAACAATTATCGGGCAGTGTTGCAAAGTCTAGTGAATTTTGGGGGCATGAGAAGAGTTTGGAATGTCAGGTAGAGAGAAATCAGGTAGCACAGAGTAGAAAATGGAAGGCGGTCTTAGAGCGAGGGATGGTAGAATGGTGAAGGCTTTTGAGTAGGAGAAGGAAATACTGGTGTAAAAGCAGGGAGGTGGTGAGGCTGACACGGCTGCCCATTAGTAGAGCTTTTCTGTGTGTTCGTATCTCACAGAAGCGGTTTCTGAAGCTCTGAAACAGGGACTCAAATGCAAGCCATTTCTTGGGGAGGGAGAGAGAACGCAGTGAGTGATTTGGGGAAAGGAAGGCAGCCAGCAGAAAAGGTGTCTTTAGATTGGCAACTGTGAGTCAGCTATAGCGTAATTCTTGGGAAAGCTCTGGGACTCGGTGTAATTGTGCACTTCAGAATGACCTTCCTGGGTGCTTATGGACCATTACCTTATGTTACTGATGAGGGCTGCTTTTTGGGCCCTTAATGCTCAAGGGATCCAGAAAAGCGGTTCTGGACACATGGAAATGTAAGATCTTTGTGTGCGTGTGTGGGGTCGTTGTTGGGGGTGGTCTGAGAGCATCTGCTAGAGTTGGGTACGGGGCCAAGCACTTACTGCCCTCACTTATTTTGGGGGATTGTTCCCATTTTGCATATGTGTAGAATGAGGCACAAGGCACAGAGAGGTTAAATAGCCTCATGGTCACACAGCCGGGAAACTGCAGCTTGAAGGACAAAACTTGCAGAGGGGTTAGAGGCTGCGAGCAGGTAGGGAGAGGGAGTAGACCTTCTTAGGAGCCCCATCCTCAGTGGACTCGAGCCTTCTGGGGCGGGGGCAGATGTAGTGAAGTAGTCTCTTCAAGATGTTTGCCTTCTCAGCCCGGAAGCAGCTTCCTAAACGGTCAATTCAAGATGTCCTGGAAGACGAGAGCCAGGACAAGGACACAGAGGCCAAGAGGAGAAAGGAGGAGGGGAAAGGTGAGACACCAGAGGAAAAGTGGGAGGAAGTGGAGGGGTGTGTGTGTGTGTGTGTGTGTGTGTGTGTGTGTGTGTGTGTGTGTGTGTGTGTGTGTGTGTGTGTGTGT